ATGGCTAATCTCTCTTTTGATTGTGATCTTAGCAGCTTAAGCTATATATATATTTAATCAATTGGCTATGTTATTTCAAAACCTTGTTTAAATTGATTTTTAAGTCTTTTTGATTTAACAAAAAGGGAGAGAAATGTTAAGTGTTAAAATGTTTTAAAAGGGAGAAGTGTTATAGTAAGGGGGAGTAATTTTTTAAAATTGATTTCAAATTTTTAAAAAATCTTAAAATAACACAAATGTTTTGTTATATCAAAAAAAGGGGAGATTGTTGAAAATATTGTTGTGTTTCGATATAACAAATTAAGTTTAAATGAATTTTAAGATTTTACAAATGATTTTATAAGTATATTCAACACAATTATTTGAATATCAAATCAATTACTCCAAGTCTTTTCAAGATCAAATTCAAACCTTACTAAATGTGTAAAATTGTGTTTTATACTTCATATATTTTTGAAACAATTTCCACAAAGTATTTTGAACCAAAGCCTAAAATCAATTTTTCAGAGTGATGCACCGATGCACCAATCCATGCATCGATGCACCATGAATTAAATTGAACATCGAATGCATTTGATGCATCGATGCACTCTGGCTATTTTGAAACATCAAATGCACTTGATGCATAGATGCACTCTTAGTGCACCGATGCACTAAGTGTCCAACGGTCAAAATATTTGAATTTTACACTGATGCACCATGGGTATGCATCGATGCACTGATGCTCCCAACTGAATTTATTAATTGTTTTCACACTTAAATGGCTATATTGACTCCACTAAGCATCCCCAACGTTCATAATCATTTGAAGGTGTATTTAAACAAGCTTAGAAGCCATTGATCAACAACAAGAAACAACAATCAACAAGAATCAAGAGAGAATCAAAGAGAAAGCATCAAACCTCAAGTTTGAGCATTTCAAACCTATTTTTCATTCAATATTCATTATGCTTTCAAGAACACTACTTGTACTCAATTATATTCATTTTTTAGTGTTCTTTTCTTTGTTCTAGAATTGTGCAAACAATCTACCTTGTGAGGATTTTCTTGTAAGTTTGGAAATTTGTAATCTTCTCTTTGAGAAAGAGTGTTCTCAAGAATTGGGGTATATTCTTGAGAGAGTTGTAAGGTTATCTCTTTGGCCTCAAAAGAAAGAACAAATTAGTGAATTTGTTGGAAAGTCCTTAGTGTTGATAGCTAAGGTAGTGGACGTAGACTTTGATTGAAAAAGTCGAACCACTCTAAATTACTGTGCAATTACTTTCAATTTTCTGCAAAAGCTTCCACCAAAATTTTAATTGCCAATTCACCCCCCTCTTGGCCGATCCCGTCGATCGATTAACTTAACAAGAAGCCTTCCAACCAGCAAGTTTCTTGTAGAAATTTTGAACCTCCGGATCCCAAAGAGTTTATGAATTCCTATTACCACTAAGAGGAAGTCCTAGGTAATCTGAAGGAAAGCACCCAACTGAACAACCAATAGTCCTTGCCCACTCCTCAACTTCCTCTTGAGTCGAATTAATTCCAAACAATATGCTTTTCTTTATATTCAGCTGAAGTCTAGAAATAACTTCAAATACTCTAAGAACCCTCTTGACATTTAATAACTGCATTAGGGATTCAAATTATGGTCGCGGCCGCGTTGTAATTATCGCGGTCGCGGACGTAACGGATGCTATCGCGGTCACTGCGAGTATCGCGGACGTGAATTTTTTTAAATTCACACAACTTATTATAAAATATAGGAATTATAATTAAAATTATAGAAAATCACTTCTAATGATTTTTAGAGTATTTTGTAATACTTATAGACATTTATTAATACATAAACACAATTTTTACCATTATTAATTATTTTTGTATTTATTTATAAATTTTTAAGAATATTATATTAACTCATAACAAATAAAAAAATAGAAAATATTGAGTTCAACATAGAGTAAGGCTGTAGAAAGTTAATTTTATGGGATAAATTCATAAGGTCATAACAATAACCCAAATACTCTATTCTATTTAATTTTATATGGTTCTTTTGGGTCCAAACTTCAAACCCAAAATTCTTAAAAATTAAAAGTAAAATAATAATAATAAGGTGAAGAAATAAAACATAAAACAAATATCCTCCTTCTACCGTGAAAATAGAAGGGTGGAGGGAGAACACAAAAACAACAAAGATTTTTTTTTCTTTAAATGCATCCATTTTCTTTTCTTTTTTACATTTCTTAAAGTTTTCTTGTTATTTCTACCAAAAATATCCAATAAACTATAAAAATGGATAGATTTGTGAAGATTTTCTTTCAAAAATTTTCCATACCTATGTTAGTTGCTGCATGTACAAGAAGCAAGAAGGAAGAACTTAAAACAATAAGGTATTTTACTTGCTTGAAATTGTGAGATTCTCTTCAAAGTGAAGATTTTTTTTCTTCTGATTTTTCTTTGATTTTGACCTTGGGGCAGTGAACTTTGAGAGGATTTTTGAAGCTGCAAGCAAGAAATTTTAGATTTTAATTTGGGTTAGCTTTTTGTTTTTGTATTTTGTACCGATTCTGAAATTGTGATTACTTTTTTTCTATTTTGATGCAAAGTAAACTGATTTTTACAGGTTTTACAGAGAATATATTATTTCATTTTTACTTTTGCTAGTTTTTATATATGAATTGCTATTTTTTTTGAAGTAACTGTGTTGTTGGTGATGTTTGGTGTTGTAACGGGGATTAACGGGAAAAACAGTCTATTATAGCCGCAATCGATCGTTACCCGTCAAATTACGACCGTTATCGACCGTTATGGGTGTGATTTCGTTTCACACCGTGATTTCGGTTGATATCAGTAACGGGGGCCGTCGATACCGCTATATAACGACCGTTATACCATTACATGGCCATTTTTTGAATCCCTGATCTGCATCTTCGAAGCACCACAGAAAATAATGAGATCGTAAGCAAATTGCAAATTAGATAAGTTAAAAGATCCCTCCTCCCTATCTATTACCAATCCAGAAAACAACCCCTCAGAAACGACCTTGATAAGTAATAAATTAAGAACTTCCCCTACTAAATTGAACAATAGTGGAGACAGAGAAAAACCCTGACAGAGATCCTTTGCCATTGGGAATTCCTCAGAAGGAACCCCATTGACCAATACTGACACGGAGGCTGCTGTTACACATTTCCTTATCTAACCACTCCATTTGGATCCAAAGCCCATCTTCTCTATCACTTTAAACAAAATAGGCCAATCTACTGTATCATAGTATCATAGGCCTTCTTGAAGTCCACCTTAAAATCACAACCCTTGAGTCATTTTTTCCTCCAAAAGTCAATTCCCTCATTAGCAATAAGAGAACAGTCCAGGATTTGTCGACCAAGGATAAAAGAAAATTGTGTCGAACTGACGATGTCTCTGATGCAACTTCTTAACCTCCTCAAAAGGCACTTAGATATGATCTTATATAACCCTCCTACTAAACTTATAGGTCTATAATCATCTAGACCACCAATGTTGGAACCCTTCGGAATGAGAGTAATGAAAGTGTGATTAATATCATGTTCCCAATTAGTATTGATACTGATTATCCGATCCATCCATTTTCTAGAAATTTACCCTTAGTATCGGTACTGTTCTTCTAGTATCGATACTCTTACCTAGATTTCATAGATTCCATTTCGAATTTTACTCAAAACTCACCTAAATCTTTTACCCTTAGCTCTATTCAAGTCCTTAAACTCCATAACACTTATCCCACACAGCTTATGTCCATTTATCCTCTTATACATCTAATTTTTTTCTTAGAACACTTAGAACTAAAAATCACACTAATTATTCAAACATGTTCTTAATCATTTCTAATACTTCCAATTTCTTAATTAGACCTTTGACAAGCCAAATTTATCCTTAGAAATTCAAATATTAAACCATATCATCAAATCCCTTAAAAACCCATTTTACTAATCCATTAATATTTCACTAATCTCTTAGTTTTATTAAACCTTAAGCTTCCATATCACTTAAGTCTTTAAAACCAAACCAAAAACTTGAAGAACAACCAGCTTGAATTCAACTTACCTTAACAATAGAGTCATGGGAAGAGAAGGAGAAGAAACCAAGCTTCTGAATATTTCTTTCTTATCTCTATTTCCCACGTCTTAAATCCTGTAAATTGAAATTTAAATTCATTTCCTATAAAAAGACCTCTTTTTTCCTTCCATTCTTTCATCTTTGAAATCAAGTCCTAAGCAAAATTTCCAAAATTAGACCTTGAACTTTTCAACTTATTCCAATTAAACCACTAAATTTTAAATTCTTACATTTTTATCACTGACCCGATGTTTGGGTATTACATGCATGGTCACTAAGATGTACTTAATTATAAAAAATGGTACTACTTGCTATATCAATGTGCTTATACATGGTCATTAATGAGTTAAAGCTAGACTGAATTCAAATTGTGACATCTCTAGTTTAACCTGTTGAACTGGTTGTTCAATTAAAAAAATTAACATTAAATGTATGCTTTTGATATTAAATAAATATCAAGTTATAGGTTGATAAAATTTTGAATTTGGCTTAATTTGTAATCCCAATCTCGTCTCTTATAAAAAGTAGTAGTAGTAACAATAAAAATAAAATTTTTTTTTACTGGTTTTGTCAATTTATTTTTAATTTTTTCTTTTTGCAAGTGGATATGGTTAACTACTTTGTTCATATATGTACCAACCTAGTTGCCCTGGTTATTGGTTGAACTTGTCCAATCGATTTGTTAAATATTTTTATGAACACTGCTTTCGCTCATTCATTGTGTTCTTTTGCTTTAAATGTCATCTATATGTGGAATATGTAATTCATTCTAAATCATTTTAAGAAGTGATGATTCTCCGGCCTCTCCTGCCCTACTAATGTTCAGTGCCAATGGATTTGAATGGACTACTTTACTGTGTTCTCCTTGTGCAGCTACTCTAGTTGTTTGTGATATTCATTTTTATGTGCTTATCTTGTGACAAATGAGTGGCTTTAGAATGAAGGTGGCTGGAAGGTTTAAGCCCTGTGTTCACATGGGTTGTTTTGATCTTGAAGTTTTTGTGGAGCTTAACCAACGTTCTAGGAAGGCAAGCAACAATATTAGCATGTTTGTTATCATTTGTAATTCTTTCAGGCTTTTGACAGCATTTGTATGATTGCAGTGGCAGTGCCCAATTTGCCTGAAGAACTACTCAATGGAGAATGTTATAATTGATCCTTATTTTAATCGCATCACATCCAAGGTGTGTACCCTCCTGTTCTATATTTATCTTCATGATGTTAGTGTGTGGGATAATGAATATGATCAAACTGTCCTCCAGATGAGAAATTGTGGAGAAGATATTGCAGAGATTGAGGTCAAGCCTGATGGTTCTTGGCGTGCAAAGGCTAAAAGTGAAAATGAGCGTAGAAAGCTTGGTGATCTTGCACGGTGGCATTCTCCTGATGGTACCCTATATGAATCTGGCAGTTTGGAGGATAAGCCAAAAGCTAAAACTTTGAAACAGATCAAACTTGAAGGTAGTACGGAAGGGCATACAGGTTTGAAACTTGGAACCCAGAAGAATCGCAATGGGTACTGGCATGTTAGCAAGCCTGAAGATGTAAACACCTCATCTGCTAGTAGATTACATGAAAGGCTTGAACATCTTTACTAGAATCTTATCCCAACAAGTAGCAGTGCTACAGGAAGTGGTAAGGATGGTGAGGATCCCAGTGTAAATCAGGATGCTGGTGGAACTTATGATTTTACAAGCAATAGAATTGAACTTGATTGAACATTGATTTAGGATATGAATTTGCTAACCGAGATCAATATGCACAAGCAGAAAATGCAGATGTTATTGTTCTTAGTGATTCAAATAATGATAATGAAATATTAATATCTCCTCCTAATATCTGTAAGGATAATCAAAATGACTCTGTGGGACTTAGTTTTCCAGTTGCCCCTCCCGAAATTTCTCAACCATAATCAGAAGATCCATCTCTCGGGCCTGCTGGTAATTTGGGGCTTTTTGCTCCCAATGATGAGTTCGATATGCCTCTTTGGTCATTACCTCTGGGAAATCAAGATGGCTCAGGGTTTCAACTATTTAGCACAGATACAGATGTCTCAGATACGTTAGTTGATCTGTAATGTAATTCTCTCAATTGCTCTTCTACAATGAATGGTTATACATTGGCTCCTCGGACAGCAATAGGATCTGCAACCCTAGACCCTGGTTCTTCCATTGGTCAGGCAGATACAAATGTACATGATGGCTTGGTTGACAATACCTTCTTTGGTGGAGAAGATCCCTCGCTTCAGATATTTCTTCCAACCTGTCTTTCGGGTGCATCAGCACAGTCTGATTTGAGAGATGAAGCTGATGAATCAAATGGTATTCGTACTGACGACTGGATCTCACTTAGGCTTGGAGGCAGTGCAACTGGCAGCCATAGGGACTCAGCAGCGACCAATGGATTGAATTCAAGGCAGCAAATACATTCCAAAGAGCGTGCCATAGACTCTGGTTAGTTTCCTTGCTCTTTTATCGTTGCCAACAAAATAGATCATCGGTCTCATAGTTCACTGCATTAGTATTTCCTACCTCCTCTCTTTTCCTTTCTTATCAAGTTTCAAGCATTTCCTTTGCAGCTTATCTGTTGCTTGGTATGAATGACAGTAGACATGGGAAGTCAAGTAGGCAAATAATAAAGCCCTTTCTCATTTCCTCGGCAAAAAAGGTCGGTTCGACCGAGATTATGTTATGATTTAGGATAGAAGAATTTTCTAGGGATTTAAGAAATAGAAGAAATAGGTACAGAAAATGTGCTCATTCATTCATTAGATAATCCTTAAGGGGGTGTTTGGTTCAAGGATTGTGGGATTCCCATGGGATGGGAATCTCACATTCCCATGTTTGGTTGGTCAGGAATCTCATTTCCGGTAATGTTTTATTACCAATAGTAGATTTTTTGGGGTATATTACCGGAAATGTCATTACCTCCATTCCCTTAGGTATTGTAACATTACCGGCATTTTGGACTAAAATGCCCTTAAATTTTTATTATTTTTCAAATATATCCTTCTTCTGTCATTGAATAATAAAAATTCTACGAATGTTAAATTACAAATTTATCCTTAAATTATTTTAGATTTACAAAAAAAAGTCTATAATTAAAATTTTATATGAAGTTCAAGGGTTAAAACAAAATTTTACCCTTTCATTAAACCTTTTTTATATTTTTAATTTTGTAAAAAAAATTATAAAAATAATATGAATTTAATTTTTTAAAGAAAATATATAAACATTTTACAATTTGTAATATTATACAAATATATAATAAGGACAATTTGGTCAAATATACATTCCAATAATATTTTATTCCTTTAACCAAACACGGTAATCTTACATTCTTGCTAAACCAACCAAACACAAAATACAACATTCCCAGTAATCCTATTCCCTGATAATCTTTTATTCCCACTGGTAATCTTACATTCCGTGAACCAAACGCACCCTAAAAGATTCAATATAGTTTTATATATTAACAGGTACCCTACAACTGGCAACACAACCAAATAACAAAATAACTAACTCCCTGATGACTCACCCATCTCAGCCCTTCCAACCCTCTGATTAATATTAGATTTGTAATACCCCAAATCCCACATGTGCCTATAATATTAATTAATTTGGGTTTATATCCAGTGAAGCCCAACTACACCTTTTACCTAAATAGACCCTGGCCCATTTCTCCTCACCACGCGACCCCCCTTTCATCTCTACTTCAGCCCCAATCTCTTCAGGTAACTTCTCAATCCCTAATCTCTTTTCAATCCCTAATTTATTTCCATCCTCCCCCAATTATTGCTGCTTCACTCCCAATTATCTTCTTCGATATTTCCCCGAATCAATTTCTTTAAACCCTAACTCACCTTCCATCATGACAATACCCCCCATCAGACGATCCTTGTCCCCAAGGATCAAAATCAGGAAATTGGTTCTGAAGAACCGAAGCATCTTCCTAAGTTGCGTCGTTTAATCCCATATTTGTCCACTGAACCAGCACCTGAGGAATAGATTGATTCTGTCATTTCACTATTCTTCTCTTCAAAACAGACGCTGGATAGATTTTTAATTGACCATACGAAGCGACTTCTGGAGGATTTATTGAGATAAGTCCCTGCTTCCCCAATCTTTTCTTCAATAAACTAATGTGAAACACCAGATGTAGTTTAGAATCTGGTGGTAATTCCAATTGATAGGCAACCTGACAGACCCTTTTTTGTATTTTATAGGGACCAAAGTATCGAGCAACAAGTTTTAGATTTCTCCTTAATGCGAGGGATGTTTGGCGATATGGCTGAAGCTTCAGGTAAACTTCATCCCCTACCTGAAATTCTCTGGCTATTCTATGTTGATCTGAAATCTGCTTCATTCTATTACTGGCTTTGAGTAACTGCTCCTTTAGCAATGAATTTAATTGCTCTCTCTGTTGCATGACATCCTGTACTGCATCCACTCCAGAATCTGCTGACCATGTTATATTAGGGGCTTGATAACCATATAAGGCTTCAAATGGTGTCATTCGAAGGGCAGTGTGGTAATTAGTATTGTACCACCACTCTGCTTGAGCTAACCATTTTGACCAAGTCATTGGCTCAAAAAACCACATGCACCTCAAATATTGTTCAAGATATTGATTGAGCCTCTCAGTTTGGCCATCTGTCTCAGGGTGATAGGCAATACTGAATAATGTAGTAGTCCCCAACTGCTTCATTAATTCCTGCCAAAATAAACTAGTAAAAGATTTGTCTTTGTCACAAATAGCTACCTTAGGAGGACCATGTAATTTATAGACTTGATCAAGGTACACCCTAGCAACTTCCACCACTGTATAAGGATGAGCTAATGGCATAAAATGACCATACTTGGTGAATTTATCAATCACTACCAAAATGCAATTGAACTTTGGTGAGGGTGGTAAACCCTTAATGAAGTCCATTATAATCACTTCCCAAGCTTTATTAGGAATAGGAATAGGCTGTAACAATCCTGGCTTAAGAATATGCTCTATTTTGGTCCTCTGACAAACTTCACACTGTTGAATATGGTCTTGAATTAAAGTCTTCATTCTTGGCCAAAAAAATAAGACTTAATTCTTTGATAAGTAGCCTGAATAACTGAATCCCCTCCTTGTGATGAATCATGTAGAGCCACAATAATATTCTGGTCTCAACTCCCCTTTGCTACCCACATAAATCTTGTTCTTGAAATACAACACCCCTTTTACTAACTTCCAATCTTGTATGTTGTCTGGTTGAATAACTAGAATAGGAATTTTTTTCTTGAGATATAACATCATCTTCATAACTCTTTTCAATATCATTTATCAAAGTAGGAGTTATAATTGTGACTCCCATCTGTAAAAATTCACCAGAATCTGTCTGCTGTCTAGAGAGTGCATCTGCTACCTTATTAGACTTACCCTTCATGTACTGAATGGTATAATCCAACCCAAGCAACTTTGTAAGTCCTTTCTTCTGTATAGTTGTAGTTAACTTCTGTTCTAGAAGATGTTTTAAAGGTTCATGGTCTGTCTTGATTACAAAAGAGCCACTCTCCAAATAATGTCTCCAATGTGAAACTGCCATCAAAATAGCCAAATATTCCTTCTCATAAATAGAAAGATATGTATGCTTAGGACCCAAAGCCCTACTCAAATAAGCTATAGGTTTGCCTGCTTGAGATAGAACAACCCTAATTCCTTTAGAAATAGCATCAGTTTCTAAAAAAAATTTCTGATCAAAATTTGGTAAAGCCAACACTGGAGCTTCACACATAACTCTTTTTAATTTTTCAAAAGCCATTTTAGCCTCTGGGGACCAATGAAACCCTTCATTCTTCAACATATTAGTCAAGGGTTTACTCAATTCTCCATACCCGTTAATAAATTTTCTGTAATACCCTGTTAAACCTAAAAATCCTCTCAAAGCTTTCAAATTTGTAGGTAAAGGAAACAGTTGCATAGCCTTTATTTTAGTAGGGTCAGTTGATACTCCTTTAGCAGAAATTAAGTGCCCCAAATACTCCACCTGCTGCTGTCCAAAAAACATTTACTCTTTTTTGCATATAATCTATTCTTCAGCAGAATTTCCAACACCACTCTTATATGCTTCTTATGCTCTGCCATACTAGGACTGTAAATTAGAATATCATAAAAAAATACAAGAACAAATTTCCTTAAATATGCTCCAAACAGATCATTCATCAAAGCTTGAAAAGTAGCTGGAGCATTAGTAAGGCCAAAAGGCATAACTTTAAATTCATAATGCCCTTGATGAGTCCTAAAAGCAGTTTTATGAATATCCTCTTCTTTAATTCTAATTTGCCAATAACCAGATCTCAAATCAATCTTTGAAAAGCAATTAGCCCCATGTAACTCATCCAATAAATCTTCCACTATAGCAATAGGAAATTTATTCTTAAGTGTAGCAGAGTTAAGTTGCCTATAGTCCACACAAAACCTCCAAGTACCATCCTTCTTTCTAATAAGTAAACAGGGAGAAGCAAAAGGACTTTTAATTGTATGATAGAAGAGGATAACATTTGAGCAATTTGCTTTTCAACTTCAGTTTTATGATGATGAGCAAACCTATAGGGTCTTAAATTAACTGGTGGTGTCCCCTGTTTAAGAATAATGGCATGGTCATGTTTTCTTCTAGAAGGCATTCCTTGTGACTCC